GAATATCCATGAATGCGTGCGTACGCGCTATGTATCTAAAGATGTTATTAGAATTAAAAATCGCAATCATAACGATAACAATTTTATTACAATTCTACTATTTTATTTACTGCTGAAATATCTTATTAATTTCTATTTATATCAACAATAATATTCAACATAGAATCTAGCAGTATTATTTAAGAGCTATTTAATAACAAAAGGCGTAGGATTCATGTTCTGCTGAAATGCTACGTACAAACGCGCGCGCCCTGCACGAAAGATCATTCTTACCTAATATACATATATGTATGAGCGACGCACAAGTCCAGGAGACCGCGACGTAAGAACGAATCATGTAAAAGAAACGTTCAAATAATTCTATATATACAGAGTATTTGAAAATTAGTGTCTTTCGCACTTTTCTGCGGGGCAGAATGGACTAAACTGAGAAGAAAAGTCCTCTATCATTTTACAATTGTCGCAATAGTTAACGAGATATTAACTGATGAAAATAGTCAAATTCGCCCAGCCCACCGCCAAATGCAAGCATGCGACAAGATAGTATCCGCCTCACGCGGCGAGTCGCGCGTCCGCCGTCACTAGGCACGTTGTTTATAAGCGGCAATTGCTGTCGCTATAGACATTACGGCGAACGCGCGTCTCACCGCGCTGGGCAGTCCTATCCAATCGAGCGACAGCAATTGCCGCTTATAAACAACGTGCCTAGTGACGGCGGACGCGCGACTCGCCGCGCGGGGCGGGTACTATCCTGTCGCACGCTTGTATTTGGCGGTGGGCTGGGCGAATTTGGCTATTTTCATAAGTTAATAACTCGTTAACCATTGCGACAATTGTAAAATAGTAGAGAACTTTTCTTCTCAGTTTAGTCCATTCTGCCCCTGTGCGAAAGACTTATCACTAATTTTCACGTATTATATCTCAGCAATTAGTTATAAAAGTATATTATCCGATCAATGAAATTTTTGATCAGAAATACAAAAATTACATATTACAAATTCAAAGCAAACTGACTAAAAACATTATTTCATATAAATCGTGCAAGTAGCTTTAAATGAACATTATCAAATACCAAAATCCTCTTTGACCGAAAATAGGTTTAATTTTTTCATTTTGTGAAATAATTAGTTGCAAACATCATTCTAGAACAATGTCTTTATAAACTTTATCAATCTAATATATATAATAGATTACTTAACACATTCAATGTAAAAAAACAAAAACGAATTCCTTGGAGTTACGCTAATTTTGTACATTCTTCTAACTCAATATAATGGACCCGTTATTATAATTATTAAGTAGACACTTGGTCTTCTCCTATAATTTAACTTCTAAATGTATCATTATTTTGGATGGACATAATACTTAAACAATTATTGAGAAATGGCATGCGATATGTGGACACTGAGTCATTCGTCAAATAAATGGATTAATCAACATTAAAAAAATGGATTATTAAAATTTATAATTATATTTGGAAGACTAAAGTAGAAGATTAAAGTAGTTTAGAAATTATCATAATAAAAATATCATACATGTAAACAATGACTTCGTATAAATAAATTGATTTCGTTCATTAGAGATTTTGATGTATACATGATACTTACGCGGCATTAAATACTTCTGCGCTATGATCGGAAACTGCTTGTCCAACAAAATTAGATGCAAACAAGACCATAAAATGAGCTGTTACCATACCGATACATAATATTATTTCAGAAAATTCCTTTGACACAGTTAATGCATTAAGTAGCTATAAAAATATATTATATTATTATTCAAATATATATTTTAATTTACATACGAATAACATACGAATTCATAAATATAACAATTAAATGTAAAAAATTAATTGTATAATTAATAATGTAAGAAACATAAAAAATGTAAACGTACAAAAGTGCATTACTTACTCGAAAAAGATTGCAACTTAAAGACATTACGCTGATTATCACTAAAGGGAAATACCATTTGTTCATAATATTCATAAAAAATGTAGAAAACCTTCAATAGCGAAAAAAAATCTAATTTATATTAAATCTAATTAAATTTATATTAAAATCTAATTTATCTTGGAATTAGTTGTATTAATGTGATTTTTAAAAATTAAAATTAATTTGAGTCGTGTATAATAGATAATAAAAGAATAAATTAAGTAAAAACTAACTGAATAGATTTTCTATGAATATGAATAGCACGATTAATTCTCTGACACATCACAAGTGTTGTTTTCTGACAAGCAGGAATTTGAAGTGTATGTTGAGTCACTGTTTTTTCGATTAAATTACTGCAAACAATTTTTATATAATCAACAAACAATTAAAGATATTTAATTTTCTTCATCAAAATTTAAACGCAAATACCTAGCGATTTTAAAAGTGGCGCAACAATGCCTGATGAGCGCGAACGATAATGTTCCCGTTGCAAGAATGGTAAATATTCCAATTATTATTGTTATGATTTCATATATTAAATAAATATAAAAATATTGTTCCTCGTCGATAAAAAATTCAAAATCGATTTTTACTTTACGTGGTCGAGATTTATTCATCGGTGTGACAGCGTCAAGAATGACTGGTATCAATTCAATAATTATAATGAAAAATATAGCAAATGCGACGACAACTAGACATTCAAAATAACAAGATAATATAGAACTTTATAATTTTAATTATCGTAAGTAAACAGTAAAAATTTCAAATAAACAGGGGTATATATTAAAAATGTTATTTATTATCTATTTCATAATTTACTTACAACCTAAAATTAGTGACAATAGACGATTTTCATTAGCATATTTCTCTAATATTCTAATTTCACTATTATCTTTGATTGAATTCCAGTCCAATTTTATTTGTTTTAATAAATATTTCACCTATCATTTAAACAATTAATACTTCTGAAATTTCTCTTACTTATGCGAATTAAAAGTTTCGAGATAAAAAGACTTCTCCATAAAAATAAAACTATAAATAGTACTTACTCCTTTAGAATTAAAATAATAAGAGTTATAAGTTATAATATATAATATGGTAATGAAAATATATGATAGTTCTTTAAAAATAAATTCCAAGTTACACGTTGTTGTCAAAAAAGTCGTAAACTGCAACACATAGATATGATAATAATATATATCGAATTTATGTAGAGGGGAAGGTGGTGTAACATTATGTATTAGCATATTAGAATCATAAAAACGATCCATTAAACAAATAATTTCATAAGTAATCAGTAGAATTCACCACTTAATAACCGAGATACCTATTAGGCGGAGCCAATATATCTACACTGATCATAATACCACCTTCTCCTCAATGAATCATCCAAAG